ATTATTTAAGGAATAAAAGACGAAATTCCGTGTTTGATACTCTGATCAAAACACGCGGGATGTAGGGAGAGCACGAGAGAAGCGTAGGAAACCACGACGCGTAGCGGAGTGGTTTCCAGCTTTTCGAGTGCTCTCCCTACATCCCAAGTGTTTTGATCAGAGTATCAAACACGGAATTTCGTCTTTTATTTCTTTTCTAAAATTAAAAGAATAAAAGAAATTTTTGACGCGCACGAGCGTGTTTTGATACTGTAATCAAACATGGTTTTCGACCAATCACAGCGCGCGTAGTATCCTAAGTATTTTAGAATAACTAATATAATGCAATCCATGGGAGATTCAGCTTAAAATGGGCTTCCTGTGGAAGCAAACATCAAACCGGATGTGTCACTGACTGTTATACTTCGACGATCGAGAAGACAAAAAAGAACTATTGTTTCGCACTTCCGTCGCCTGGAACTAGGGTCATGTCAGCTGGATAGTGTTACTCCGTCATCGATCCAACATGCACACTTTGATGCCATGTGTTTCCCTCTCTTTTCTACTAATTTTAAGCTTCCGATACACTATAGCCGAACCACGATTATCTGATATTCTAAAGAATTCCACCAAGGAGTCTATTTTAAAGGAACCGACTGTACTTATTTCAATTATAGCCCGAAATTCGGCGCATCTCCTACCGAACTGGCTCGGCTACTTGGAAAACTTAGACTACCCAAAGAATAGAATCTCAATCTGGTGAGTGTTTCAAAAAAAAAACTATATCATGTCTGTCACTTTTGTTGCAAAATTTGTAAATACTTTGCTAATGTAGATCGTTTCAATCTCGGAGCAAATAACACTTTGCTTTGATAAAACATAAAGTAGAACTATATTTAGTTTTCCAGTTTTCCAAAAATAATTATACATTCAGCTGTTTAATCTAATAATTAACCGTTTCTGCGGGCACAGACGATGTACCAATGTGATGGTATTCAATGTGTTTTGATTTATTCTGTGAACGTCGCTTCGTATTTAGCATATTAAGTCTACGTGTCCCAAAATGCCAGGCATTCCGAAGTGAGTGGTCCGTACCATGGAGAATGGCTAAGGACAGTACTGTACCTGCAATCTATAAGGAAAAGAATGCATCATTTGTATTATAATAACCATATGACCATGTAATTAACTTCATATGCATTTTAGGAGAATTTCCAAAGGTTAAATGTGAATATAGAATCCAATTTTTTGTATTGGTTTCATTAAATTTGGGTGGCTGTTTTGAAAAAGTAACTGTATGTAAATCATAACAAGCCACAAACATTATAATTAAAACTGTATCTTTGGCAAAAKYAGCCTGCAGCTAAGCGGCCAAAATAGATGTAAGACTTTGCCATTTGTATTAGTATTATTTTTATTAGTATTTATTATTATTATTATTTTTAATACTATTAGGATTAGCACAGATCACAATGAAGACAACACATCAAGTATTCTTCGAGAATGGGTTACCAATGTTAAACCACTTTACCATAGAGTTCTTATCAATGTGACAGCGTCGCCRAAGAGCTATATAGATGCATCACATGCATCAGAATGGACAGATGCTAGATATTACCAAGTGGCCTTGTTAAGACAAAAGGCTCTTGATTCAGCTCGAAAGCAATGGGCTGATTATTTATTTGTAAGTCAGTACTTTGTGAATTAAGAATAATAACCTAGGGTAGGGTGGGTGGGGAAGAGTGTTTAGCAGTCATCATGAAAAGGTATCAATGTTATTTTGATATGACAGTTGTTTCAAAAACCAGCCTTTATATTCAAAAGGTGATGAGGCACCAGTTTATTGGGCCTTAAAAGGTACATGTATATGCAAGGGCCTGATTTCCACCCTTAAACATCTTTGAGCACCACTAACCACTTCTGTAAGGAAGTCCCCTCAAAGTGAAAACTTAGGCTGAGCATACCTGTTTTCCACATCTTCACTACATTCTTAGTATGATGTACATTACAGTCCATTTACTGTTGACAAGAAGTTAAGTCTCTAATATAAGCTTCAGTCTATCTGATGGGGTAGCAGTATAAAAATTAAAAGAGTTCAAACAAAGGATTTTTAAGGTATCTAAGTCTCTCCTACTACTGTCAAACTATTGGTGA